CTAGAAAACGGATAATGTTGGGGTGGCCGTTTGCCTGCCCGTGGTTCTTCAACTAATGTATGGATCAATCGAAAAAAATAAATCATTAAACGATGTTGGCCGTTTGTAATTCTACAGCATATTTATTACATAATTAATATTTAAAACCGTCTCCAGTTTCCCTTTGCTCTACTATGTCGGAGAACGGAATATCGTATAGCGATAGATGGTTAGAAGCAAGTATTCAAAAAGGGTTAATCTATTGTTGTCTAGAAAGCGACCTCTCAATCGAATCTACTCCAATGGCTGGTGGTGCGTCGGGGGTAGTATACAGAGCGACGGTCAAGTCCGATTCAACCTTCGGCAAGAGGCAAGATATTCCTTCTGGCATGACCGTTGTGGTGAAGACCTTTATTCCGCCTGTACACGGGAATTTGGATGATTTTCGCAGACTGCTTTTCCGAGAGGTTAGTCATCGTAGTGCATATTAATGTTCCTTGTGTGTAAGCTAATTTTGGCATTATCACCATACATTAGTTGAAGAACCACGGGCAGGCAAACGGCCACCCCAACATTATCCGTTTTCTAGGTCTCAAAGGTTTGAGCAATCTAGCAACTCAAACTTATTGAGAGAAAGGGTAACGACTAATCCAGTTTCTATGTAAACAAACAGTCACAGACGCTTGTTATAGCATGATATTAGAATTAGCTGATGGTGGGACCTTGCGTCAACACTTAGTGAGACAATTTCAGAGTCTGACGTGGAAAGATAAATATAAATTGGCTTTAGATATTGTCAACGGGTTAAGCTACTTGCATTCGCTTGGTATAGTTCATAAAGATTTGGTACGTATTGCAGATTTATCGTCTCTTTACTTCTTGTTATTACATTTAGATAATGAAATACCAATTTCTTAATTTATTTCAGTCTTCCCACAACATTCTTGTACAGTCAGGCACTGCAAAGATAGCAGACTTCGGTTTGTCTAGTGTTTTGAAACAAATGTCCCCATCGCATGGTCTTGGCACCTTAGCATACAAAGATCCAGCAACTTTTAACATTGAGGCTTTCGAGTTGTATGGACGCACATTGTCTGGTCACCTTATGAAAAACAAAAATAAGAAACGCGGAAAGGAATCCGATATGTTCGGCCTTGGAGTGATACTTTGGGAAATTTCAAGTGGAAGAGTTCCATGCGAAGGACTTACTGATGGTGTCGCAATAATTATGTATAGACGCGAGGGCTTGCGTGACGCCCCAATTCCTGGAACGCCCAACGAATATATTAATCTGTATTCAGAATGTTGGGACGGAATCCCAAACAAGCGGCCTTCATGTGAAAATGTTTATAAGAGGTTAAAGAGATTAGAGTATCGCGATGCATTAAATGACATCAACTCATCGTTGACTGTTGAACCGAACAATGCATGGAAATTGAGCAAAAGGGGAGCTGTTTATCTTAATCTTAAACAGTATCGCAAGGCATTAAATGACTTCAACTCATCGTTGGATATTGATCCAAATAATGCATGGACACTGAGCAGAAGGGGAGCTATCTATCGTCATCTCAAGCAATATGAAAACGCATTACATGACCTCAACAAATCATTGAAGATGGAACCGAATAATATTTGGACATTAAGTATGAGGGGAGCTGTCTATTTTAGTCTTGGACGATATGATGATGCGTTGAAGGATTTTAATAAATCATTAGCAACGGAATCAGATAATAATAATGCGAGTGCGTTGAGAAATAGGGGGGTTGTCTATCTTCATCTTGGACAATATGCTGAAGCATTAAATGACTTTAACAAATCGTTGAAGATTGAATCGAATAATGCATGGAGGTCGAGCAGAAGACAGCATGGGAACGGATTAGATGACCTCGACAAATCATTGGGGATAATTGATGCTTGGACGTTAAGTACGAGGGGAGCTGTCTACCTTAATATTGGACGGCATGACGATGCGTTAAAGGATTTCAGTAAATCGTTAGCAATTGAATCGGATAATGCATGGACATTGAGCAGAAGGGGAACCGTCTACATTATTCGTAAACAGTATGCGGACGCTTTATATGATTTCAACAAATCTTTGACTATCGAATCAAATGATACATATACATGGAATGGAAGGGGAACTGTTTATTTTGATCTCAAACAATATGACGAAGCATTAAATGACTTTAACAAATCGTTGGGTATTGACCCAAAGAATGCATGGACGCTGAGTAGAAGGGGAGCTGTCTATTTTAGTCTTGGACGATATGACGAAGCATTAAATGACTTTAACGAATCGTTAGGTATTGACCCGAAGAATGCAAGGACGCTGAGCAAAAGGGGATGTTTATATATGAATCTTAAAAATTATGACAAAGCATTGGATGATTTCAACAAATCTTTGGAGATCGACTCAAATAGTGCATGGGCATTGAGTCATAGGGGAACTGTCTATCTTAATCTTAAACAGTATGATAACGCCTTAAATGACTTCAACAAATCGTTAGAGATTGAACCGAACAGTGAATACGCATTGAATGGAAGAGGAGTCGCCAATCTTCATCTCAAACGGACAGACGATGCTTATAATGACGCTCTAAGTAGTTTATTGGAGAATGACCCTGACAATAGGACGATATTGCAGATGAAAGGCGCTGTCTTACGGGATAATGCAGAACACGCCCAAGCTAGCTGATCTGCAACAGATATTGTCAATCGGAGTATACTCGAGTCAAATAGTAATCTAGGGATTGTACAAGACGGATCATACATCACGAGTATCGAATGCCATTAAATTTATCGATAATAGGAATAGTCAAAATTACTTCCAAAAGTAACTGAGTGCTGATTATATCAACTTTTTAGATTGTAACATCACTTAGCATGATCAGAAATTCTACTTTCTTTGGTTGAATCTTAGCCTTCTGGGTGGGAATGTACTCTCCTTAATAGACGAGAATGACACTACTCAGCGTCTAAGAGTCTCAATCATTACTATATAAGAAATTGTATCCAAAATAATTTAAAGAACCGTTGTTAACATGTAAATAAAGGTATTGATTGTTATTGCGATTTTCAAAATGCTGTGACACCCTGTCCACGGGACTCAAGATATTATGTTTGCCAATGACATTAGTATTAGATAACTGCTAATACAGTCAGATATATATCTCCCCTTCTGTTTAGCCTCAAGTGAGGATCTTGATATATGCTTATAAGGGCATTTGTTGTTATAAAGGTTGGAGGATATGTATTCCCAATAACTTGCTTGCTGAAAACTTGAATTGGCTTGTTGTTATACACGTGAATATCGATGCTTAAATTATCACATGATTCGGACTTAAAAGTCCCCAATACCCATGTCCTAGAACGAATATCTTGCAAAAGATGCTTAGTATTAGAATAAACATTCACGAAGGGTTAATCTCTTGTTATTCGGAAAATGACTTATCAGTAGATTCTACTGAAATGGGCAGCGGTGCCTCAGGTAGCATTTATAAGAAGCGACATATTCCCACCGGCAAGATTGTTGCGGTGAAGACCTTTATTTTTCCCGTATACAGAAATGGTGATATTGACAGACAGTTTGCTCGAGAGGTTTCTACTGTTATTTTGCATATTGCTTACCTCTACTTTTTTATAAACTAATGTTTGGTTATTGTCTTTATACATTAGATGAACGACCACAGACTGGCACATGACCACCCTAACATTATCGATTTTCTCGGACTAGTAGAAGGTTTGATAGATGGTTACAATTATTCTCAACAAGCTTGAGTTACGACTGATTCTGTTTCTTTGTAACAAACAGGCACAAACGATAATTATAGCATAAGGTTGGACCTAGCTGATGACGGGACTTTGCGTGAACATTTAGCGAAATACTTTAATGGTCTGATGTGGAAAGACAAATACAAATTGGGTTTGGGAATCGTCAATGGATTGAGATATTTGCATTCACTTGGCATAATCCATGAAAATTTGGTATGTCTTGCATTTATCGATAATGAGTACGTATTTAGTCTGATGAAATACTAATACCAACTTCGGTTAATCTGTTTAGTCCTCCAACAATATTCTCATTCAAGCAGGCACTGCAAAAATTGCAGATTTTGATTTCTCCAGTGCTTTGGCGCAAGTATCTCAATCTTATAGTTATGGCAACTCAGCATACAGGGATCCAGCCTCTTTTGATAATACGAAACGTGGAAAGAAATCCGATATTTTCAGCCTTGGGGTTATACTTTGGGAAATTTCATGTGGAAAAATACCCTGTGAAGTACACACAGACGTTATAGCAATCATTGTGTATAGATTCGAAGGCTTGCGTGATGCTCCAGTTCCTGGATCACCAGACGAATATATTAACCTGTATTCTGCATGTTGGCCCTCATTTAGATGCGTCCATGAGCGATTGATGTACTATATTATGTTAAATGACATCAACTCATCGTTGGCTATTGAACCGAATGATGCATGGATGTTGAGCAAAAGAGGCACTGTCTATCTTAATCTTAAACAGTATGACAACGCATTAAATGACTTCAACTTGTCGTTGGATATTGACCCAAATAATGCATGGACGCTGAGCAGAAGGGGAACTGTTTATCGTCATCACAAGCAATATGAAAACGCATTACATGACCTCAACAAATCGTTGGAGATCGGACCAATCGATGCTTGGACGTTGAGTACGAGAGGAGCTGTTTATCTCAATCTTGGACGGCACGATGATGCGTTACAGGATTTCACTGGATCATTAGCGCTCGAACCGAATAATGCATGGACATTGAGCAGAAGGGGATCTGTCTATATTATTCGTAAACAGTATGCAAACGCATTATATGACTTCAACAACTCTCTGGCCATTGAATCGGGGGATGCATACGCATGGAGTGGAAGGGGAGCTGTCTATCTTGATCTCAAACAATATGACGAAGCATTAAATGACTTTAACAAATCGTTAACGATCGAACCAAATAATGCATGGACAGTAAGCAGAAGGGGAACTGTTTATCTTAACCTTAAACGGTGTAAGGAAGCGTTACATGACTTTAATGAATCGTTGAAACTTAAACCAAATGATGCTTGGACATTGAGTAGAAGGGGATGTGTGTATATTAATCTTGGGCATTATGACAACGCATTGGATGATTTCAACAAGTCTTTGAAGATTGATCCAAATTGTGCATGGGCGTTGAGTCATAGGGGAGGTGTCTATCTTCATCTTAAACAGTATGTCAACGCATTAACTGACTTCAAGAAGTCGTTGGAGATTGAACCAAATGATACATACGCACTGAATGGAAGGGAAGTTGCCTATCTTCATCTTGGACAGACAGATAATGCGTTTAATGGCGCTCTGGATAGCGTCTTGGAGAGTGAACTTGACAATATAGCGATATTGCAGATGAGGGGAGCTGTCTCATCGGACAATGTAGAACATTCCATAACACGTCAAAGCTAGCTGACATCGTCAATCGAAAGATATTCGGACGCAATACTCGAGATTAAATAGTAATCTAGGAACAGCGTGTACAATACTGATCATGCATCGTGGGTATTTGACAATCGGTTAAAGGCCAATTGTCGATAGTAAGAACTAGTCAAAGTTCTGTTTAATTGCTTTCCAAGAGTAACTTGCTGTATTTTATAGAAATAGATTATTATAATATCGATTCACTTAGTATGATTGGAACGTTCTACTTTATTCGGTTAAAATCTTAACCTCTGGATAGGAACATACACTTTTTAGTAGACAAGAATTACCCTACTCGATGTCTAAGAGTCTCGATCATTACTATTCGACGAAGAATGCGAAATTGTAACCATAATCCAAAATAATTTATTATTAATTTGTAAATAAAAAATTTATTAGACGTGATTATCCATTTGCGGGTTTTCTTATAATCTCGAAGAGCGTAGCGCATACCATTAAGCTTACGCATGGCGGTAGAAAGTATACAATACATATTATTTGTTCTCCTGCAAACGAAGCAGGCTTGGCAATGGTTCATCGTTATTCTGAAGTTAACGATCGCTGGTCAGTGATTGCTCGAATAAAGTGACGTAGCAATCGTCATATAGTTTGTGAACAAAAAAATCGAATATGTCTTTCATTATCAAGTCAGAGATGACGAATCAAATCGTGCATACACTCCTGTTATGTGCGAGAGCACATTTTTATCCAATATGATTGATGTTAAAATGCTTAATAATTAACAATAGTATCAATATCACTAATAAATGGCTATTTCCAGTTAAACACTTGCCGTTCAATGGAAATTGATATAACCGTTTGCTTATTTCTTGACACCGGATCCAACTCTTCGTCCTTCAGTATACAAAATAACAAGTCCAACCACACACATCAGCCGGACCAGGAATACACTATCATAAACAATCCTGCTCTCCGCTATGCCTATCTATCCTGTATGCCAACACAGTTTCGACGTCCATGAATATCTCACCAGCTGCATAAACAATCCCCTTGACGATAAGATTTTGTCTACCCAATTGTAGGGCAATGGCATCGGTTGGCATCTTGTGGCTTTCTGCTTCATTGCATCCCGGATGACCAATCGTAGTTACGTCGGTATATAATAATTGCATGAAGCCTACGAATTCTGATATCCTCAATCGTTGTAACAAGTCCAGACCCTAAACGTCCGTGTCATACTGGTAATGATGCTCTTATTGATTATAAACTTATTATAGTGAGCTGCCAACGGATAATGTCAACTCAATATTTCCCATTTGGCTTTCCAGTTTCCAATACCAGAGTCTTCCTAACCGAAGAAACAAAAATATTGCACGTAAAACTTTCATCACGATAAGTTTTCATTAGTTTCACGACAAGAAGTGCACAAAACTGCCCGTATCATCGCGGAGAGAGTAAATCATACCACCCGTCAATGAACCAGACCGCCAAAATCAGAGAACATGGGTGCGTAAACTTGGGAATGAACATTCTGATGATGTAGTCCACATTTCGGATCCTCTCATACATCTTAACTCGAAACATATCACTGAGCTGTTCCTGTTTTTGATGTATTGTATTTCCATCCGTGCATTTCACGAAAAGAGGTTTACCCAAACGTCGCCGATTTGCAAAAAAGAAAGGTTATTCAGGAGACGAGGGTGATACTTGGAGACTGACTAGCTGAACTTGAAGCGTTTCGTAAAAACGTGGACCGCATTATTTTTAAAGGGCTCCTGGGAACATGATCAAATTCATTAAAACACGCATAAAGCGTAAAACCAATATATGCGATCGCAACCATGGTACGGTGATAATTCTGGAGAAAGGGTAAATTGTGCGAAACCGAAAATTTACGTTATAGTGAAGTGCAAACTCACCTAATGGTAATCCCGCTTATTATTGCCTATGTTGAATTTGTTGATATTAATATTACTATTCTCCCTAATGCTATATTACCGGACCCATGCCAACGTCAAAACAATTGATTACCACAGCTTTTCTCTACAGGTTTTTATCCTCACTCTTGAATTAAGCGTCAAAAAAATTCCGACGACGCCATTCTTGAATTTCTCGAATACAAATGAGAACATTTAAGCGAGAGCTGCTAACTTGTAAAATCGAGGCGTGTATGAAGTCAATATAACAGAGCATTTGCTTGTTATGTCAATCAAGTGTTGACCAAGGTCAATTACGCGATTAGCATATTTTAATTTTGGGCCCCACCGGCAGTTGTGTGACATCGAATTTTGGGGGCAACGCTATTGTTAATTATATACCAACATTTTAAAACATTTGAATTATATCAACTCTTAGTACAGTCATGAGAATATCGAAACTATGTTCGTTATATGTCTACTTTACTTCTGCTCTTTCCTTACCGTAGACAAACTAACACGGATCAGAGTGCAGCACTTTTATTGTAGTAAAAATTACGAAATAAATAATAATCAAAACGTAGTGCACACGTGTTTATTATGAAATAATAGCATGAATCAATGGAATATTCATAACATATAAGATGATAAAATATACAACTATTACAACCTTAAAGCTGTTTGGAACCATGGATATCAATTTTTTTCTACTCCTACACCTCGCATTGCTGTAACAAAAGCATCAGAGTTATTGGCCAGATATAAAATACGAGCATGTGTGCATTATTAATGTATTACGACTTTTGGTGACTGTCGAGAATGGATAAATAAGAAAAGAAAATGAAAATAAGATGTTAATTGTGTTAATAATAATGTGCAGCATAAATATTATTAGAGCGATTAAAAAAACGGGAATACATATTAATATCAATGACTCCATAAACTTTATTTGGGAGGTTAAGAAAACAAATGTTACAAAAAATTGCTGTCTCAACTGTCTACTAATTCAAGCACACAGTAAATAGTTGTGTTATATTACAATGCAAAATTTATTGCGTTGTTTGCACTGCTTTCAGGGAAGAGACTAAATTATTAATTATAGCCTGAGAGATTGCATTCCCGTAAATTTAAAATTTTCATGCCATCGTTTTTATTCAAATACTGCAGAACGTTTGATAGCAACACGCAATGCGTTTTTGGATCTTGTCACAACATTATAATTAGTCTCCGCATGCATTTTTGTGCGGCAGGTAGAAGTTTAATATAAAACATTAAAAGTGTGCTCTACCCTATTTGAGAAATGCCATGCTGATAATAATGCAATTTGGGTAACCGCATAATGACCATGGTATGTGAAATGTCTCATCGGTGAATATTGTTTGTCTTTCATACATTACCTCATCTGCCGTGGGAATTAACCCATGCTGAAATTGGGTTTATATAATTTTTGTTTTTTTCCGGCGTTTTGTGTAAAATTTTATATACCCGCGTATACAGTACCTTAATTAAGATATCATGGTTATCATTACTGGCTATTCAACAAAGTACAATACCTGTTTAAACAATGTCATTGGGGAGTTTTCATAGAAATTTTAAAACGTTCAGTTTCCCACCTGGGCGATCATACGCGTATGATATAGAAATCGATATCCTGACTCGATAATGCGAAATCTACTATGGACAAATTTCTGTTTCATATTTTTTTATTATCTATAGTAGTCAGATTTTATCCCACCCTTTTGTACGGCAAAGAGTCTGTACAATTACAATGTTGACACTGTATTGTTGGAGCAACCGGCACTCTGAAGAATGGTTGCTCTTTAGCTACTACTTTCTGCGCTACAAACACCGATTACCTATAACTCGAATAAATTACACGGCTTCAAAACCCCAAGACCATTGTATTAGACAACATAGAAAAAGAAAGAACTCAAGAATAATA